TTCTAAAAAAGACTACTTTCTTGTCCCATTTCCTGACACATATTTCTTCACATTTATTAAAAATCTAGGTTAAAGATGTGAAGTCCTGTCTTCCCTCCCCTGCCCCCAGAACATCTGTGGCAAATGATGAAGTCCTAAGGAGTGACCAAAATGTGCGAACACTCAAGTAGGGGAAAATTCCACTTGGCTCAAGGACCTGGGCAATGGCTGCTGTGTTTATGCTGCCAAAGTGAATGGGGGCAGAGGAGAGGGGGGCATCGTGCACTGGGGAATCTGGACATGTTCAATTGGAGAGTGTCATGTCACCTCGTTCACCAGAGCAAAGGGGCTTTGTTCCTCCCTTCCCCTCAAATTTTTATGAACTCAGCCCCATCATGTACAGAGCCCGACAAATCCCAGGCAGCCATGTGGGCAAGCAGACAACCAGATGGGATCCCCGTCCGTGTGCGTCGAGCCTCACCCAGAGCACTCTCCAGCTCAGCCTCACCCTCTCTCCTCTGCCACGAACCTACACATCTCTCTGTGATTTGGGGCCTACAGCTTCCTTGTTGATGTGATTTTTGAGTGGTGGCCCAAGGACTCTCTCAGCCTTGGGCCAGCCCAGCTGATCAGATGAGCAAGAAGAGAGTGTGTTAGCCATGGAATACTATACAGCCATGAAAAGAATGAAAACATGTCCTTTACGGCAATATGGATACAGCTAGAGGCCATTATCCCAAGCAAATTAACACAGAAACAGAAAACAAAATACCACATGCTCTCACTGATAAGTGGGAGCTAAATGTTGAGTACAAATGGACATAAAGATGGGAGCAGTGGATACTGGGGGCTGCTGGGGAGGGGGAAGGAGAGAAGGGGTGAAGGCTGAGGGGCTGCCTATGGGGTGCTGTGCTCACTGCTCAGGTGACAGGATCAGTGGTATTGCAAACCTCAGCATCAGGCAGAGTTCCCATGTGACAGACCTGCACATGTACCCCCCGAATCTAAAATACAAGTTAAGATGGGTGCATGGCTCATGCTTGTAATCCCAGCACTTTGGGAGGCCAAGGTGGGAGGATTGCTTGGGCTCAGAAATTTGAGACCAGCCTGAGTAACACGGTAAGACCTAATCTCTACAAAAAAATAGAAGAATCAGCCAGGTGTTACAGCATGCACCTGTAGTCCCAGCTACTTAGGAGGCTGAGGTGGGAGCATCTCTTGAGCCCAGGAGGTGGCAGCTGCAGTGAACCATGACGGCGCCACTGCATTCCAGTCTGTGCGACAGTGAGACCTTGTCTCAGAAAAAACCAAAATGCTGAAATATTTTCAAAAGAGCGAGAGAGGGTATCAGAAGCATGTGGCAGGGGTCCTGGGTAGGCACGTCAGGTAAGGGGGCCTCCAAACACCCAGGAAGCTGAGGTGAGGTGGGAGGCACAGAGCCCACAGATGAACTTCTCCAGCCACGCACTGCTGCTTCAGAGGCCCTCAGTGTGGACAAGTCACAAGGCACCAGAATTGACACATTCCAGTATCCACCTAAGTTCAATCTCCACTTTGGATTTATGGCCAAAGACGTAGCTGCAGCCCTTCTGTGTGAGTATGCTCTATCCCCAGAGCACTGTGGAACTGGTCGAGGACAGCTCTGTTAGCTCCCACGGAAGAGTGTTATCTCTCTGAGTCTCAAGTCTTTGATCAGAACAGGGTTCAGACCAAAGACTTGAGACTCAGAGAGATAACACTCTTGAAATCCACCAGCTGTGTCCTGGGGCCAAGTTCAAGGAGCCTCAGTTTAGGTCAACCTACTTTTATACGCTGTTTATTTATGTTCTAGGTAAGGACTGTGCTAGGCCCAGGAAGCAGGTGCAGTGAGTAAGGGTTGCTGTCCTTTCCATTCCATTATTTATTAAAAAAAAAAAAAAGCAGGCATCAAATAAGAATGTACCATGTAACACTGTACCGACTAAATAGCCTTGCAGAAATGCTACTTTTCACGATAATGGACCAAGGTGGGTTTCCTAAATAGTTATTTAAGGTGTGAGCTGATGTCCTATAAAAATAACAACAAGGCCAAGGCGGGTAGATCACCTGAGGTCAGGAGTCTGAGACCAGCCTGGCCCACATGGTGAAACCCCATCTCTACTAAAAATACAAAAATTAGCTGGGCATTGCGGCACATGCCTGTAATCCCAGCTACTCAGGAGGCTGAGGCAGGAGGATTGCTTCAACCTGGGGGTGGAGGTTGCAGCGAGCGCAGATTGCGTCACTGCACTCCAGCCTGGGCAACAGAGTGAGACTCCGACTAAAAAAAAAAAATAACCAATGATAGTGGTCATTTTTCTTCTATACATATTACATATTATTTTTTCAACTTTTGCCACACCTGGGAACTTGGGGAAGTTGTACGGGAAGGCTGTGTAATGGCCATGTTTTCTAGTTTCTTTTTCTTTTTTTTGAGACACAGTTTTACTGTGTCCCCCAGGCTGGAGTGCAGTGGCATAATTTCAGCTCACTGCAAACTCTTCCTCCCAGGTTCAAATGATTCTCCTACCTCAGCCTCCCAAGTAGCTGGGATTACAGGTGCCAGCCACCACACCCAGCTAATTCTGTGTTTTTAGTAGAGACAGGGGTTTCCCAGTGTTGGCCAGGCTGGTCTCAAACTCCTGACCTCAGGCAATCGGCCTGCCTCTGCCTCCCAAAGTGCTGAGATTACAGGCGTAAGCCACCACGCCCGGCCCACATTTTCTAGTTTCTGTATTTGATGCTTTGACATCTGGAGCCTTGCTGGTGCTGGACGAACTGCCTCTCCTAGGGTTAGCCAATTCCTAGGGAGGACAAAAAACTCACCTTCCAGGTACCTTTCATATGCAAACCAACCCACCTAGAGCCCACACCCGACCCAGGTCCTTCAGCCTCCCACCTTCTGGGCCCTGTCCCCTGCCCTAACCAACCCCGGGCAGGCACCAGATAATTAGGGACAGCTCCTCCTTCCCGGAGTCCACTTATTCAAACTCAACAGTGCCAAGCCTGCCTAACCTCTCTCACCCATTGTTTTTCTTGGAAGGTACAGTAAAGGTTCCCTCAGCCTCCTGACCAATCCCGGTGCTTCTCTGTGTGGTCCTGCGTGGTGGGCCATGTGTGCCTCCTGTTCCCAGGGACCCGTGAGCATGACCCTGTGCTAGTTCTACGTCTAATCTTTTAAGGAACCAGCACACACATTTAAAGCGAATTCCAAATCACTGTTTACATTAACTCAATGATAAAGTTGTCTGGGAGGAATTCCATTACATTCTCTACATAATGGCACTGGAATCACACTAGGGCAGTGCTTTTCAAAGCCCATGACCCCTGGAATTGGAACACACAGCGCTCCCCAGCTGCACATTCCTGGGCCCTACCCTCCCATTTCCTGAGCTAGACTCTTCAGGGCAAAGCCCGAGAATCTGCATTTTAACAAGTTGTCTCACCTTAACAAGAACCACTGCACCAGGGCTAGTACGTCGTGTTCTCTACAAGGTGCCTCTTAGGTCAGTTTCTTTAACTGAGTAGCCCAGCGAGCCTCCATTTACTTCTTTGTGTGGTTCATTAAACTTTTCATTTCATGAAGTCTGGGCAAGCCTTTCAGATCAGTAGGATGAGGCATGCTTAGGTCTTGGTTTCATCTGGCTTTGCCCAGATCTAGGGGCCCACTTGGGAAGATGGACCTCTCACCACTTCCAACCATCTTAAGCCCTGGACGGGTCTGTTCCCAGAAGGGCCTCCCAGTGAGCCAAGGAGCCTACCATCCAGGCATAAGCCCTGAACACTGGACCTGGAAATCGTGCTGGCAGGATCACACTAAAGGTTTGGCATCTAGTTGGAGCCTTTTAAACAAAGCATGTATATTTATGCAAATAACATACAACGAAGGACCATCTGAGGTTGAGGGAAAAATCCTGGTTAGCCTCGGTGTGAGGACGTGGTGCCATTACTTTGGCTGTTTCTAATAGAAACTCTGGTGTGACTAATTTGACTGGGGGAACAGACCCACCACATCCAGAGAGAAACCGTGGTAATGAACACAGCAGAAGTCCATGCTGTCATCGTCTGCTCTCTGTGTCTCCCCCTCATTTCTGCAGCCCATCTTTCTGTTTTTGTTTCCTTTGGTATTTTTCTCATTTCCTCTTCCTTTCCCCATTCCCTGTCAATTTTTATGATTATTATTTTTCCATCTTTGCTGTTTTATGAAATGTTCGCTGTTTCAAAGTTATTTGTTTTGTGATGAGTTTGGGGGAGCAGAGAAAACAAAATGCTGGCCTTCCTGGGCTCGGCCTGTCACCAAGTTGGCTGTGGGCTTGGTTTCTGAATTCCTGGCCTCATGCCTGCATTCCCATTTTGCATGGGTCAAAAGTAAAAACAAGTGTTTTAGTCTAGTTCAGAGCTATTGTCTCTGCAGCCAGAATTTGGACAATTAGGTATCCAGGTAATTTCAGAAAATAAGATTTTGCTGCTTTGCTTATCCTGCTTGATAATTCATCCAATGCAGATTGCTGGCTGATTGTAACATGGCCCCTTTGCTGTGCATTAGGGCCACAGTGAGCAGAAGAGCTACGGACCAGGTCTACTAAAACACGCTCACAGCGGTACTGCAAGGGGAGGGAGAAAATGCAGAAGGCAAGGTGATGGATCTTCAAGTCACAATGAAGCCCTGTTTGGCGGAGTAGCCCGGTTGAGCCTATTCTTTATTAACTGTAAGCTGTTTTGCACAGTACAGAATTATTTCATCAGCTGAAGATAAATAAACGAATAACATGTGTTTCAGTGGCACTGTGTGCACTGACACAAACAGGTGTGGGAGTGTGTTCTTCTCGAACGGGAGAGAACATTGATGAGAACGAAAACACATCTTGGGAACTTGAAAATTCAAATGCAAATGTGAAAAGCGCACGTTCTCCCTCCTCCTCCCTGGGTGATTCTTAATGCCCCCATGTGCACGTTTGCATGAGAAAAGACACTGTCAGAATTATATGACAATTAAAGCTTACCATTGTTGTAAGAGCGAAAATTTCCTACAAATTTTATGTATTCATAAGTTGGAAATTCCTTTGGGTTCAAGCTGCCTCTGAGAAGGTGGCAATAAAACTCTAAATCGCTGTCAGCTGGGCCGTTAAAGGAAGAAGAGGAGAGAAAGGGGTCGTGAGCATCGCACAGACTCAGACTAAACAAGAAATGTCTTTGTGAAAACTCTACGGGATTTAGTCTACACATGGCCAGGCTAGTTCTCTCATTACGACTGACTTTTGGACCTGGTCTGTAACTCTTGTTGCACGGGTTTCCTTCCATAGCTCACAGATATTCTACATTCCATTCGTGGACCCAATTAGTCTTAATTTGCCCCCAGATGTCTGTGGTTGGTAATGTCGGCATTGATTAATTCCGGTTGTTTTCATATGGTATATTAAAATAAAGCGGCTCATATAGAGCTGCTCCCTTTAATTTTTTTGCTTTGCTTTAAAGTAAAATCAGATGTACGACAGGACAGATTGTTCATGGAAAATGGACTCAGGCTGGCACTGATGCAAGCAGCTTTGCTACCTCATGCAATTGTGTATGCTTCATTAAGGGACACGTGGTTCACGAGGCATCAAGGTTAGCCTTCCACCCAGGTTGCCAAATATTTTGATAAAAACTTCTAAATTCCACAGAAAACACAAATGTATATAAATAACCAGACGACAGCCTCAGGAGGACAGAATTTGGATTTTTGACCTAATTATTCAGTTTTCAGTTGGTTTCTTCATAGTATACAAATTTAGCATCATAGTGTCCTCCACGATGAGCTGATTGTTCACTGATGTTTGCACTGTTTCTTACTAAAAGACTCTCATGTAAAAAAAAAAGGAATCTTGTCATATACACAAAATAAATTATTATTCTTGAGTTCTCTGCTTTCAAATTTTCCACATAAAAGCCAAATGTCTTACATATTCCAAATTCCAGTTTTAGCTTTAAACCTAAAATATACCTCTAAGGATCTTGGAAATGTTCTGAGTCATGAGGAAAATTATTCTTAAAATTAGTTCTCCCTTCTTAATTCATTCTAACCTCCTTTCAAAAGCAAAATTCATATCTTCCTAGCTTGTAAAACCAGAAAAAAATAAACTTACATTTTAAGTATTCTGGGGAGGGGGAATCCGTCACAAGCATATGGGAAGAAAGGATTTTATAAACTTCTGAATGTTCTTGTTCTGGGAGGAAATTTAACAAATTCTGATCCATGACATCCGACTGAAAAAGAAAACAAAGGACAAAGGTACACCCTCAACGAAGATGAAAAACAAAAGCAAAAACAGAAACTGAATGTCCACAACAACGCAGAACTGGTTCCCGAAATGGAAAGTTCAGTATCTGATTTTCTGGGGAGACTCTCAGTTTATCACTCTATCGTTTTAAATAGTAACCTAAAAGCTTGTATTTGTTCAAATGTGTACATGCTGTTGTCTGTGGGCCCAGGAGGGAACTAAGAGTGAAGTCAGCAGATGTAGGAAGGACTGAGTCCTCCTCTTGCCTGAGAAGTGCCGTTTGCCGACACTCCTGTGTGCTGGTGAGCAGCATGGCTCCTGTGCACACCCAGTGCAAGGCCTATCACTTATTTAAATGGCTCCAAAGAGCCCATGGGGTTCCTTCCCTGACCCTTAGGGCAGCAAAGGGCTGCCTGTCTACTTCTTAAAGGTCTCTAAGTTATGGGATGGCACATTTTTTCTGAGTGCCTGGGCACTGTGATTACAAAATAAATATAACGTAGAGTTGAATGCTGTCCAATAGAACCGTCTGTGATGATGGAAATGGTCTGTAATCTGCACTGTCCGTAACAGGAGCCACTAGCCACATGGTTACTGAGCACTTGAAACGTGGCTAGTGTGAACAAGGAACTGAGTTTTAAATTTCATTTCTTTTTTTTTGGGACAGAGTTTTGTTCCTGTCGCCCAGGCTGGAGTGCAATGGTGTGATCTTGGCTCATTGCAACCTCCACTTCCCAGGTTCAAGTGATTCTCCTGCTTCAGCCTCCTGAGTAGCTGGAATTGCAGGTGCCCACCACCATGTCCGGCTAATTTTTTGTATTTTTAGTAGAGACAGGGTTTCACCGTGTTGGCCAGGCTGGTCTTGAACTCCTGACCTCAAGTGATCTACTGCCTCAGCCTCCCAAAGTGCTGGGATTAAAGGCATGAGCCACTGTGCCCATTTAATTTTAATTGAAATGTAAACAGCCACATGTATCTAGTGGTTACTATATTGGATATGCAGGTAGGAGCTCAAAGTGGACAGAGGAGACAGGCAGGTCTCTTTCTCAGTTTCCCTCAATAAACTAATCCACTCTCACAGCTTCAAACATGATCTGTATACGCTTTCAGGTTTGAATATCCAGCCAACTCTCTCATGTGCCAGCCTCAACCATCCAACTGCCACTCAGCTGCTCCGTGGGGACCAGGGATGCACACATGTCCCCAACATCGACATCCTTTCCTTGTTTGCATCTCCATCAATAGTATCATCAGCTGGCCATCTGCCTGTCCCAGACACCCTGGGGCCATCCTTGTCTCCTCTCCTTCTCCTCCTCATCCTCAAACCAAACAACGTCCAAGTGCTGCCTGTTTTTCTCCCTCTCATTCTCTGCTCCAACCACTTTTATTTCTCCAGCTTCCACCCTAGTCCTGACCCCCATCCTCTCTGTTGGGAATGATTTGGCCAAACTGGTCTTCCTGCATCCACTTTGGTGCCTGTTCAATTTGTTCTCCATCAGCCGTCAGAGGAGCCTCATATAGATCAAGTCACAACTGTCTCTTGCCTTCTGACTGCTCCAGGAACAAAGCCTCAAGTGCTCAACACACGTTCACGGCTCTGCACATCTCAGCCTCTACCTGCCCTCGGCTCCCGGCACTTCTCTACCTGCCCTCGGCTCTGGTACTTCTTTAACCCTTCCGAGCCTTTTTTCCTCCAGTTTTCCAGGCTTGCTTCTCCCTCTGAGCCTCCCCTGGGCTGTTCCCTCCGGCAGAGACATGCAGCACCCCTCCCCTTGTGTTTAACAAATGCCTATGCAGCCTTCAGGTCCCTGCTTTGAAGTCACCTCCTCTGAGAAAGAACCAGGTGACACCCCACACCCCCACTGATGATTTAAGGGCCTCTGAGGGGACTATGACCCCCTTGATGGGACATCAGATGACCAGTATCATGGCAAGGCAGGTGAGAGCTCAGAGCTCAGGCTTGAAAGCAGGTTCTCCCTTCCAAGCTGCATTTTCCTCAGTTGCAAGATGAGGAAACTGTGAGGGGTCCATGAGCTTACTTGCCTCCACTGCTGATAAAACAGCACATGGCAGACATTCAATACATGCCAAGTGTGACTAGGCACTGAATGACCAATTACAGAGTGACTACAAGGGCCGCTGCACCACAGTGATGTTTTCCTGTACATCTACGTGCTGACCTGTGCACTCCACTTCCCTCCCTCCAAGAGGAGCTTCAGGAGAGCAGGGCCCAGTGCCTTGATCACCGCCACATCCCTGGTGTCCAGGATGGTGCCCGGCCTTCGATAAGAACTCACTGACCAGCTGAAAGAATAGCATGGCCAGCACTGTAACAGGCATGAAAACAAGGTGACCAGAGAACACTGCGGATGGCGTGCTGCCTCCAAAATGATGGGGTAGGGGAGATTCCTGGGGAAGAATTCCTGGAGGGAGGAATCCTAGAGTGGGAACTGGGGGAGAAGACAGTGTCTGCCAGACAGTCAGGGTGGGGAGGTGGTCCAGGCAGGGCTCAGCAGGCAGAGGCATGAGATGGGCATCCTGACAGCACTGCAGGAAGGTGGAGAACAACGGGAGGGCGAGAAGCCATGGGAGAAGAGGCTGCACAGGGAAGCAGGGCCCAGGTTCGAGGGGCATCAGAGGAGTCAGGGCTCCATCCTGTGCCACGAAGCACCCGCAAAGGAGGGGGCAGCAGAACTGCGAGTGGATTTTAAAGAGATCCTGCTTGTGGTTTGGGGGGAGAGCGCACTGGAAGTCATGCTGGAGATGGCCAGGGTTTCAGCAGAGAGAGGGGAAGGCGTGGAGAGGGGTGGACAGAGTCCCAAGCAACTCATTGGTATGGTAGTCCAACCAATGCTCGCTGAGGGCCGCCATGCGCCAGCCACCGCTGGGGACTGGGAAGGCATGTTGGGAAGCGGGCAGAGCCCCTCCCAGCCTGCAGTCAGCATTTCAGTGGGTGTGAGGACAGTGGACACAGCTTGGTGGCTGACTGGAGGACAGGGGGAGGGAAAGGAAGGACTCAGCGTGGCTCCCAGGCTCTGGCACAGACACACCGGTCTTTATCTTTACGAACGAAACTCTACCAGCACCCTCTCTCGTACATGCTACCATTTCTCATTCTGGCTTTCTCCAAGTTTCTTCGGATGTTCCTGGTTTTATTTTAAGCCCATTCTCTCTAGTTTTTTTAGAAGATGACTAATGTTCACAGATGACAGTAGTCTTTCTTCTTAAAGATATTTCAGATACTTGACAATGAAAACTAAGTGACTCCACGGCCTCTTCTTGGAGGGCTCCATCTGAAGCCACTTCCCCCGATGGTGGGTGTGGCAGAGAGCAAGGCTGGTAGCTGCCAGGCCCGGCCACTTGCGTGGGAGAGCTTTACCGATACAGGTCCGAGGGCTGTGGGGGCACCTGAGGCCACAGGTTCTGCACAGAATGAAGATGAATGCTGGGTACCAGTAAGGGAAGGTATGATATATAGGAGGTTTCGAGGATGACGAATTAACACACAGAAAGGGCTCCAGACTGTGCGTGGCTCTTGTATGTATTTGCTAGTACATTGCTATTATACCATTTCCACATAATAGCAATGAAAACCAACACACGCAATCATAATTTGAAATTTTTAACCCTCGTGCTTACAGGGGAGAAAATTACATCTGCAGTTGAACGGTCTCTTGAATGAGCTGAGTTCTGTTTATTAAAATAATAGCAATTACAGAGACAAGGGAGGGAATGCTCCATCCACAGCCATCTTCACCGTCGAGCCCCACGATCAGGAAGGTCACCTGCCTGTGGAGGTGGGTGGTCCTCACTCCCAGCTGCCTGTCGGGCCTTGACCAGCAGCACAGTGTACTGCACCCAGCTATGTTAAATGAACCTGTGCTAATAGCGCACGGAGGCTGGACCGGAAGGGGCTGGATGGACACTCAAGTCTCAGAGTGTCCCTGAGGGGCTCTGGCAGTTTTGGCTTGAGATCTGTGTTGGCCACAGCTAGAAGAGGCAATGGGGGGCAGCCCTGGGCAGACTTCACCTTGAGAAAACAATGGGTTCAGGGAAGTCACTGAACCAGGGGCCCTGGTCTCCCTAAAGGACGAGGAATTTGGAGGCATATTTGATCTACTTATATTCAGTTTAGATTCAAAGTCAAACTGATGGCCATATAGCTAAGTTTTCAGAAGGGAGTATAGAGAATGGCTTTGACTCTGGACTAGTAAGAATGAATTGAGATATAAAAGGTACCAATTATTCAGAAAGAATCTCTCTGTTCATCAAAATGCCCTAAAAAAGGGGCAAAGGTAAGCCACAAAGTGAGGGAGGATATTTGCAACACAGACGTCTGTGGCATGGCCCCAAATTAAAGTTCTAAGTTACATGCTGCCTTGGCATCTGGTAAAATCGAGAGGGCCTTGAGTGGCCCTCCCAAGTTCCCTCCCACACAGACCCATGGATGAGGCTCCCCAGCCAAGCCCCCTTCTTATCAAAGGGACCAGGCACAGTTTCTGCTCACCCCTGAGCAGTAGGTTTCTGCTTGTGGAATTATTCAAGCAAGTCAATCACATCCTCCTGTGGGGGCTGGGGTGCAGAGCCTGCTTCCCATAGCCCCTACTGGTTCATTCTTTTCCCGTGTGCAGTTTCCCCTGGCCCTGTCTGGTCCTCCTCTGGGCTGTATCTGTGATTAATTAACTGCTGTTGGCCTCATCCAGTGTCAGCTGTGGAGTGTTCAGACATCCCTATTACCCTAGGGTGGGGCGAGTGAGAGGCAATTAAAACAATACCTGCCCACAACTCATGTCTGGATTGCAGAAAGAAAGCCTACTCATTATTGCCAGAAAATACCCAATCAAAGAGGAGGATGTCAAAATACCTGAGCAGGTAATGCAGGAAAGATAAAATCTAAATCATTGACAAACATATAAAGAGACCCTCAGTCTCATTGGTAACTGAGAGAAAAGCAAAGTAAAACTCCATGAGACACCTTCATGTACT